GGACGAGGACGAGGACCAGGACACATATATGAAAATCGCGGACAAAGATGTGAGGGACGCTGGGCCTGGAAACGAGGAAGCAGCAGCAGCAGAGGCTGGGAACCAAGAAACAGCAGCAGAGGCTTGGATTATCGGTTCAGGATGTAGAAGAGATGTTGGTACAAGGTTAGGCGAGACACGAATGGAATCCCCCCCCCCCCCAACTGGACGGAAGGGACGACTGAGGGAGAAGCGTTTCCTTATCGGAGAAGAAGCGAACGGCGTCGACGGGCCCCAGTTAGGCTTGATTTATAATAATCTGAAGAAGTTTTGAAGTCTTGGTTTCGCTGTCCAGCCAGGCTCGGTCAGTCTGTTTTTGGTCGCACTCTCCGGTGGCCGGGCCCATATGCATTATGCCGCGAGCTGCCGAGCGCTATGCTCGGCTCTCGCAATTGGCAGAGATTATGTTGCAGTTTGGGATGGGGGGAATGTGACGTGTTGCATGTGCATGCCTCGGTGATTGTGCGTGTACTGTTGGTGTCGCATGCGGTAGTGGCTTGCATGGTGGTTGCTCGGTGCATGTGGTCGTGGACGTTCTCGTTGCTGCATACTGCATGCCCTTATGCTAGCTCCCAGGGCTGCATGCGGTGTATGGCTAGTTGCCAGCTAATGATGCCTTTGCATGTGTGCAGAATGGGTGGGCAGTTCGACAGTGTACTACTTCCTGAATAAACCACAGTTTGGCAGTTGTCACGTTATATTCCACAATGCGTCTTTGATTATGCCATCGTGCCGTGCATAGAATTGATCGAGAGCCAGTTGGCGGCCGTTATATCTGGAAATCGCGCTCACGGGCGCAGCTACGAACAAGTCGACAATCACATTTTTCTTGGCCTTGATAGCAGCACGACCAATGGAGTGGCAGCATTTGATGACGTTTTTATGTCGTTATAGATTACTGGGTGACATTGAAACAGTCAGCTTGAAATAGCATGCATGTCTCTGCGGGCATCGTAACTGATGCTTGCCTCAATATCTTCAAACGTTTAACAATCCCTTTAGTGTCCAAATAAGAAAAGCAGTAATTTGTACAATCAAGTCAGACCCGCCCGGTATGTATCATCCTGGCTCAACAGTTAACAGGGCAGACTTAGGTATCCGAAATTCATGGCTCCAGTCTGTTCGTAGGCATTTTAAAAATATCGCCAACCTCGCACGTCCGACAAGCTGGGTCGCCTGGTCGGGTCGCCTGATCGGGTCGCCTAGCCGGGTCGCCTGGCCGGGTCGCCTTGCCGGGTAGCCAGGCCGGGCCGCCTGGCCGGGTCACCTTGCCTGGTCGCCTGGTCGGGTCGCCTGATCGGGTCGCCTAGCCGGGTCGCCTGGCCGGGTCGCCTTGCCGGGTAGCCAGGCCGGGCCGCCTGGCCGGGTCACCTTGCCGGGTCGCCTGGCCGGGTCGCCTGATCGAGTCGCCTAGCCGGGTCGCCTGGCCGGGTCGCCTTGCCGGGTAGCCAGGCCGGGCCGCCTGGCCGGGTCGCCTGGCCGGGTCGCCTGGTCGGGTCGCCCGGCCGGGTCGCCTTGCCGGGTAGCCAGACCGGGCCGCCTGGCCGGGTCCCCTTGCCGGGTCGCCTGGTCGAGTCGGCTAGCCCGGTCAGCCAGCCGCTCTATGCAGGTAGCCGATCGGTCGTCGGCTGACCCGTCAGCCGGAGAGTAGCTCTGATCACGCATTGAATACGGCTTCACTTGGATCGCGAACATGTTTATCAGTTTCGCACCATATCCCGGTAGGACGTGCACGAAATCCGCAAATGATTTTATGGCACGACAGCAGTGCTCCAGGGCCCCGCGACCGGGCAAAGCCCCCATCACCATTACGCTCCGGAGCACCCCGGCAACGGGACAAACATGCGGAAGCTAGCGCGGTCGACCTCTGCGACCCCGGCCGGACCATCGCTTGGGATATGGGTCAGCCGGATCGGGCATGGGTCTAAGGGGGCGGGGAGGTGGGAGGGAAGCGGCGGCGGGAGGGGGAGGGGCTCAGGGGGGGGGGGGGGGTTCAGAGCTGCGAAGACCGGCCGGAGGACTTGCACCAGCAGCGAGCCGGCATCGCATGCCAGGAATGCGCACGCGATGCACTGAGGCTGCGCCAATGGCTGTTATCACTGGGAAGACACCGGAAGACCTCGGTCGATCCAACGACGCTGTTGGTAGGAGCATGCTTTGCAGGTGGGATATGGGAACGATCAGCTTTCAAGCTGCAACTAACCAACATTAAGTCTACTGAGGCGAACTGATTACACGTAATCAACAAGCTACGGAACAGCAATATATGTTTTAGAAACATCTCACTTTTGCATCTTAGGCATGTGCTGTTCATGTTCATGTTCATGCATGTTGATAAAGAGTTCCCCACGGTAATTGACATGTGAACATCGTCACGCGAGAAATGTTCCTCGCGGCAGTGCTTGCACCACGCCACGAGAAATCTGGCCTGTCAGTGTTGAACATCTAAGCACACGCTCCAGCCGCTAACTGAATGCGGCGCGCTTGCAGCAGGTGGGGAAGGGGTAGGGCAATAACATCTTAAGATGTCAATAGACTAAAATAGCTAGAGACATTGATTCTCAGATTGGCATCTCTGGGAGATAGCTAGCTGAGAGATAGCTAGCCGAGAGATAGCTCTCAGCTATCTCTCAACTCTGAATTCTTGAATGTGGGCAAAAAAGGCAAAAAATCCGTCAAAGGGAAAATATCAGCAAAAATTGTCTGATCGCTTTAAGCTCAACAACATCCATGAAGTTTTCTCCCTGTACAGCAATGACCCTGGAGGTACAGAGAAGAAGCACCGAACACATGATGCTCTGTCGTCATTGAAGCTGTTTGGCTGCTTAATAAACTGATGAAACATGTTCAAAGAAGTGTAGTTATGAGGAAAATATCAAAAAGTCATCTAAAAATGACAACAAATTAAGTTCGGCGTTAATAATAAATGACTCAAGCCAGCATCCGAATGCACAAGTTGTGGGCGGAGCCAAGACACCGCATGCTTGGCCAATGAAGGAGAAATGGTTTGGGATAGGATGACCAATGAGTCATACATACCACATAGTGACAGTACCATGATATCCATAAAACAGTAGCGTGACAAATTTCCAGCATAACCACTACTAGTATTACACTAAACTGCCACCTTTTTATTTCGAGGACATCCGTGGTACATAAATATGACATTCCTAACACATGTAGCACAAAAGGCGCTGAGGGAAACAACATGAGCATGCAATAAAATGAACGTAACTTAATTTTTAACAGAATTATATTTGTAAGATTGCTGTTCTTAAGAACTCAATATTATTCATATATTGCCAGCGTGTTGAGTGTCCAGGCAGCTTAAATGACGGCAGAGCATCATGTGTCAGCTGTCAGATGCATCTTAGCGCCTCAAAGATATCTGTCTTACGGGGTGAAACTGGGATCACAAATTTTTGAACCAAAGTGCTCGGAACAAATTCTAGCTGTCTTAGGCTTAAATTCGTCTGTGCATTGACATTTCCAAACCCAAACTTGTTAATGAAACCGATCAGCAGAAAAATGATAAGATGAGATGGCAGAGGGAGTCGCACTTCTTCGAAAATCATCATTAGAGCCACGCACAGCACAAAACGGTATGTTTAGTTATTAAGTAAAGCACTGTATAATGGATTCCATGATTACAACTCGTGTTCAGGGTAGGTTTAACCGATAGTAAGTCACAGCCAGACAGAAAAAATGTCGCGCCAAACACGTCAGGCATAACAATAAAAATACTGAAGGCAATTCAGAGCATGTACATCACAAATCGATGTGCTTAAAGTTTGCGGTAGCCAGAACAGATTACAGTGCATAGAAAGCAGATGTTGCAAGGAATTGGGATCCAAAGATAACATCAGAAAAAATACACCAATGCGAACTGACAACGAAAATTAGGCAAATAATAAAGCGCAATATTCCATAGCATTAAAGAGCAAGTCATATAGTAGCCTTCTGTATTTATTAAACACTGTAAGCGAGACAATATAAGTGGAGCTGTTCTATATCAAGCATGCGTATCTACAAGCAAGTGCACATTATCTGAGTACTCTACAGGTTGGGCTATACAATTCCGCTACCAATCCTTAAAGGAACCGAAGACCCTTGGACAAGCGAATGTTATGAACAAGTGAAGGCTATAAAACCCCCAGCATCCCTGAATCGCAATGCGCCACAAACGTTGCATGACATATAACTCGATGTTATGCATATCCCAAAGGAAAGAATGCTCCGAGCGGCTACACTAATTTAAAATTCTGAGCCGTTCAGAGAGATTTTGAGAAAATGAATGCTGCCGGTCAAATCGGACATGTCTGATAGTGCCACGACAAGTGGAAAAAAGGTGCCACTTTACATTTATTTTAAATATTTAACCGTAGTCCAAAGAGTGCATGATTAAGGGCTCTGGAAAGGTGTAAGTACTGGAAATATTACTGGAATGTGTAAAGATGCTGTCTCCGCCCATTCTCAACCCTTTGCAACGCACTTAATCAGCGAGCCATACCGAATAACTCATGGCAACAGCCTGTGCAGATGTACAGGTTTAGATCGCTGGGGACTTGGGAAAGCTGGGGACTCCGGGAGCATCGTAGCAGGCAACTTCGTGTCTGACACGCTGACCGCAGGGAAGTCACCCTGCACTTTTGTAGAATCGAAATGTCTTAAAGCATGAACTTGCATCGGTTCTCTCCTTTCCGACACCGCGCCGTGATAGGTGGACGGTCACATACGCCGCGAGATTATCCTGTCGCTGTAAATGCTGATTCTTGAAATCACTCACCTGACTTCCAACCATCTAGCGTTGCCTTAGCATAGGCAGCGACGACACCGCTGTTCTGACAGTTTTTCCAGCCACGGTTGCGGTTGGTAGAGTCTGGTGCTGTTCTGATTGCACCCAACACGTGCCAGAAGTTCGAATCCCACCCCCGATTGTGACGCTGCTTTTACTCGACTCGTCGCGATACCGCTCATGTATTTGCATATAAATAACAAAGAGCATGCTCACAGCGAACAGATCCTTCGGTTGCGCGCACGACGCATACATAGTCCTGGCACACTCAAAGGAATGTATTGACTCCAACAATGCCCAACAACCGCCTTTATGGATGCCCGTGACCTCCCTGACTACAACGGCACCTCTGTCCAAAACCCTCGGTAGGACTCCTTTCAAAATCTCAAAATTTTTCGCGATTAAGTAACGTCAACCGCGACTTGTCCGAATGCACCCGAATGTCGAGGCGGTTAGCTTCCCGGTGAAGCCAATATATCTTACTTTCCCAGCGCACCACCTGTCAACCGAGGCCACTCCGCCTGCCGCCCACGAGCGACGAGACCTCGAAGTCGAGGCCACTCCGCCTACCGCCCACGAGCGACGAGGCTACGCCTCGTGGTCGCCAGAGACCGCGGCGGCTCTCTGCCCTCGCTGGCCGTTTGACTCCCGATGGTGCCTCCGTCTCGTACTGCTTGTGCATCCCCTCGATGCCGGAGACGATCTGGTCGAACCGCGGCAGCCGCATCGGCGTGTGCTTGCCGTCGTCTCCGCTGATGTCGTCGGTGAAGAATTCGGACGCGCACGCGATCACAGCGACACTGACCATTAGCACCAGCACAACGACGCCGACGGCGCTGACGGCATTGGCGATCTGTGGAACTGATAGGTATTGTCAGCGCTGTTGCTCGCTTGCTCTAGATGGCTCCATGGTGCGCCGTGTTTCTGAACGGACGCAACCCGTCCGCCACGTGTAGTAGGCCGTGGCATAAGATCATGGACCATTCTGAGGAGGATTCCGGTTCGGGTGCGGTGAGCCGAGTGGTGTGCAATTAATCAGAGACTGATGGGCTTCTCAGCGGCACACCGCTGACCGTGGGCGGGGGGGGGGGGGGTAGATTTACCCCCTGCTTACAGCAAGAACGTAAGGACCGAATTCAAAGGTCTAAATTACAATCGATAGCGCCCTAGCGTGCGGGTTTACACCACGCCATGAACTTTAGTTAAGTGGGTATTAATGTCACAGGTCACGGTCAAATGATCAAAATGTTGCTTTAGAATATCTGATCGCTCCCACAAGGTCTTTCATTTGGAAGCGTATCTCATGGTATAAAATCATTGCGCCCTGATCTAACATGCTGTATGGGAAGGTACCCAACGTTACGCGCGCTGTTTCAAGCCGAGAGCGATGGTCACGTCCCGTGTAAGTGAAAGCTGACACTGGTCTAGATGTGTACTTTGATCCATTTATTTTCATCATATCATCGCCGCAATCATTCGCCGCAATCATGGGTATCGGACACGTGGGAAAGAGATGCTACTTATTCATACACCGCTTAAGGTCAACGTGAAACAGATGGCCTCGGCGGTGAATAAGCGGTTGGATGGACTTTAGTGTTATTTTCGACGGTTCAGTCCTGCCGGTGGCGTCACCTGATGCCCTTCAACCCCGCCGCCCGCCCGGTCAGCTTTCGTGTGAAACTGATCAACGTCACCGTGCTGCCGCGGAAGATCTGAGGCTCACCACCTGACGCCCTGGGTTCAGGACCACCTGGGCACGGACAACGTGCGGAAGATCTGAGCCACGCCGCCTGACGCTCTGGGTTCAGGACCACCTGGGCACGGACAACGTGCGGAAGATCTGAGCCACGCCGCCTGACGCTCTGGGTTCAGGACCACCTGGGCACGGACAACGTGCGGAAGATCTGAGCCACGCCGCCTGACGCTCTGGGTTCAGGACCACCTGGGTACGGACAACGTGCGGAAGATCTGAGCCACGCCGCCTGACGCTCTGGGTTCAGGACCACCTGGGCACGGACAGCGTGCGGAAGATCTGAGCCACGCCGCCTGACGCTCTGGGTTCAGGACCACCTGGGCACGGACAACGTGCGGAAGATCTGAGCCACGCCGCCTGACGCTCTGGGTTCAGGACCGCCTGGGCACGGGCAACGTGCGCTGCCATACACTTCAAGCCATAAATCGGCCATCCTTACATATTATGACACCTAAGCCCCCCTACTTTCAATAGTACACGCCGGCAAGGATGGGGAGACTATTTCAGGGATAATATTTTAAAACTACCTTGCCATTCATAATGTCATAATAACGGGACTGACATTTTGCCATTATTTAAGCCATGCTGCAACCAAGGCAATACAAATATGTTATGATGTAATATGATGTAATATAAATATATATGTAATATGATGTGGCGTTCGTAAGCACCATTTCCTAATATGACGACCGTACTGTAGTATGACTACCACTGTAGTACAAGGTATGACGACGCAATTAAACAATGACGTATTGATGCGCATATTTACTAAACAGAGAAATCATGTCTGTAATAGCCATTTCTACTAAACAACACACCAGTAGTTATAAGTATGTATTATCATATCTGCTGCCTGCTTCAACATCATCAAATGTGAACCATTCCCTCGAGTCTCCCGACTGCGACTCGAGCCCATTCCACCACGTTTCGGTAAATCAGAAGACAGGCGCGCAAACCAACTGAGCCACCGAGACGGACTGAAGGCGATCTAAAACACATGTCATTTGCAGCTTTGTGTCTCATAGGACATACCATGCACATACGAGATGTGATGAGCAAGTATTTTCTGGCGGTCTAGATGGGTGAGACGCGTCACGAAACGAAAAGAAAAGACGAAAGCTGGGCAACGTGTGTCTGAAGTGGTGCGAGTCTCTGCACAAGGTGATGAATTAAATCATTGCTGGTGACTCTCACCTTGTGCTTTAAAGAATGCAGCTTGCACCGGAAAGTCGCAACCTGTGTGGTCGTAGGCGGACGAATACCTGGAATAGAAAGGCGTGATTTAAAGGTGACATACGCTTTAAAACTTATGCATATCTTTAGACGTCTTAGTTTTCTTACGGGTGTCGTCCGTAGTCCTGATACGGCGAGCGGCCGACCTTCGCGTCGGCCAGAGTCGCTCCGGCCACGATCGCACCGGTCAGCATCAGCTTCAGCATGTCTGAAGGCAGATCAAGATGAGTCAGGGTCAGACGCCGGCGTGCAGCGAACATCAAAATTCAGACGTCAGACATCGGACGGCAGCATGGCACGTCAGGCATTGGCCACCGGACAGCAGACGTCAGACGTGGGACATGGAACGTCGGATTCGGACGTCAGACTTCGGACAGCGGATATCGGACAACTTCGCCTGTGTTGTGAGGGAGAGAAACTAGACAATGTGGTCTAAAGTAGAGCCGAGGCAGATCAGCTAGGTGAGGCGACAAATTCTGATCGGTGTTATGGCACGCATAACCATATCTTAGTCAAAACTAACGCAAGCATAAAGACGGGAGTCACATGCATATATGCATATATATATATATATATATATATATATATATGCATATATGCATGTATATATGTATATATACATAGGGTCACTGCAAAATGCCTTCGCAAAACATGATGTCAGGCGGTGACTGTCGCGCGCCATTGACGCCTGACAGTGACATTTCTCTTTGACAATGCGACGGGGATCGCATGGGTAAGTGACGCGCAGCTCGAGCAACTGCCAGGAAACGAAGAATGAAGCCTTAACCCTTTATCCCGAATGAGGCTTTCAGTCAGCTGAGAACGTTCGCACGTGCTACGTTGTGGAGGACACACCAAAGTAGTGATCTTCACAGTATGACACAAACCTCTGATGCCCCAGCTTAGAGACATGTCGTGCCGAGATGGCAGCTGAGAGCTGAAAAAGACACGGACAGCCCACGCTGCCTGTATACGATCGCTGGGCATCAGGGGCACGAATTCTGTGACGACCATATACACCTCCCTATCACCCCTGAGGCCCCACTGCTGCGAGAGCAGAGCCCATGCCTGCCCGCGCCAGCGTCCGCGGCCCAGCGGCGACCCGCCAGACACTTACCTCTTCCATGAGCCGTGCGGTGTGGAATGGGAGGGTCGCGCGCCCTTCTTGCCGTTGTGCAGCTCTGTCGAGACCCGGGGCTGTGGACCACCGGACCAGTGCCCGCCGGCGGCCGGTGTTTGTGATCGGCTCCATCACGGTCCTAGAGGGGATGGCAGGTGTTTCAAGGTTTCGATGAGGTTATTGCGCCAGATTGATGACAACTTAGTGTGCTGCGATTTCACAGAACAGAGTCGGCGGAAAAACAAGGTAATAGAAAAGCATTGGCTTGTTAGTGGTGCGCAGGGAATCCCATGAGTTTTCTGTCGCAGAAGCTGCTATTCGAATCGAAATTCGTAGCTATTTAAAAGAGACTCTAGAAAAGGAATGTAAACGATCAAACCAGAAGCGCCTGACACAATCAAAACGAAAAATACAAAAAGGTGGCATGCACCATTCACGCTGATTTGAAGTATTTATTCAGAGATCGAAATGCAATTCTGGAATATGTCTGAAGCGGTTGAGTGCTGGATATTTTTCCACAATTTGTGAAGATACTGTCCCACCCCATTCTCGAAAGTTTGCTAAACAAGTTATCAGCGAACTATGCGCTCTGATGCTCTGACGAGCGGTGCCTCGGTTTTTGAACTACAGAATAATTTTTCAGGAAGTTTCGGGCACCCTAGGCAAAACTGAGGTTCTTCGCAGATGATCCTCCTGGGCGAGGCTGTCTCATTGGTATTCTGAGCTTTGGTGGGAAGCAGACAATGGACTAGCATCTCATCACCATTTTCACCACCAACACCTCATAATAGTATTATACTTTTCTTAGTTGGGAGAAATGTATGTTACGTTTCTAGGTCATTTCGGGTTTTAGGAAGGCATAGGTGACCTTATTTGTTGGGTTCCTGAGACCAGTGAGAGAAAGAAGAAAAACAAGTTTAGACAAAAGGCACCCCCTAAATTTTGTAAACGGATCTTGTTCCTCGTTAGCAACCACCTTTGTGAATGAGCATGTTTAAGTCGCAAAAGGTACAGCTTGTCTCAAAAACGTTGGACTGGTTTTTTAAAGATGCCCGAAAAAGTGGCCAAATTTTAAAAATGGCATAAGAAGATATTGAGATGGAACGAGCAAGGTGGTGTTCTATCGACTTGGTTAGTAGAAACACAGTGCAGATTCCTCAGTAAAAGTTGCGACCTGATGCAGAAAAGTAAAACACACGTAACCCTTCCCCCCCCCCCCCCCTGCAGCGCCGTTACTGACAACACCACCCACAACTAAAGTGTCCCTGCAAACGTGCAAAAGGTCATGCTAACATATAAGGAGGGAACCAGCTTGAACGTAAACGAGACGTACAGTCTTTGCAGCCGTGCAGAGACCAGGAAGTTTCCTGAAGTTAACCTGGGAATGCCCCACGCAAGAGACGAATTTTTTTTTGGCTCACTGGCTTCGGGGCTTGCAAGCGTCTCTTTCATTTTGGTTCGGAAATTTTTTAGACTTGTCTTTTCCCTTTTATACACAGGTCATGAAGGCTTCAAGGATAATGAAAGGCATTTAGGAAGCCTCTTAGTATCGTAGTCTTTATCTCTTTTGCTCTCACCCTTGTGATATTTTACATTTAATCCTTATCTCTTGACTTTATACATTCCACTTTATCTTTTGATTTTTAAGCACTTGACCTTTTGCCAGTGGGCTTCTTTTCCTGTTGGCTTCCTTGACCTTTGTCTAGTTCAGTTTTTCCCATTTGACTCTTTGCCTGTTTGGCTTTTCACGTTTGACTGTTATCTTTTTGTCTTTTTGCGCGCTGGACTTCTTGGAATTTTTACTTTTTGGCTTTTTACCTTTTGGCAGTAGACTTTTGTCCAGTTTGACTTCGTTGTGTTTGATTTTATCTCATTTTATTTTGTGACATTTGACTTTTTGGCTTCTGACTTTTTGTGCCAATACCCGCTGTGATAGGTGGAAGGTCAAATCCCTCACGAGATTATCTTGTCGCTGTGGACGTTGATTATTTAACATACGCCCGGCCGGCCGGTTGGCTACCGTTCACTCGGGCGGGGATCAATTCGACTCCCTCTGAAGTCTCAGGAACTAAAAGGTTTAGTGGCGCCAAATGCACAGGGAGTTTTAGCGTTTACATGAACACACATAGGTCAAATTTTTCGGTTTCCAGGTCATGCCATTCGGATCAAACCCAAAGTGTGTCTTCAAAGTGTCCGAAGAACCTAGATACCGGTTGTAAGCAAAAGTTTGCACGCTCACTTAAGACCAGTGACCTTGTTTAACCTTCGGAGGGTCATGGTGAAGAAAATCATACAAGGCTGCCTCGAATTTTACATTTGAATACGTGACAACGATCACGCCAGGCAGCATGTTCTTAAAAACAAAATGTTGGTCTGAGTTGTTTTAGGTCAGTGATCTGTTCTGAACTTTAGGAAGTACATGAAAGATGTCGAATGCGTTTTCTGTTAAAAATAAATCCGAAATGAGCACCGGAAACGACCCCATACGGCAAGGCATAGAGTGATAAAACAGTTTGGTTTGGTCCCTGACCTGACCTTCATAGATGATCCTAAGTCAATAACACTCGTTGATTCAGTTGTTGTGTTGCGTTAGAAAGCACCTCATAGATGTATGACTTCATCTAATACTTCGCTGTTGCATCAGATAAAACGATTCACTAGAAATTGGTTTCGCTGAACCCATGGTCTCATTTTGACCCAACGAAGGTCACTGGCCTTATAAAGTACATCTAAATTTCCGACACCAAACGATCCGTTATCCAATTGTCTACAGCTACGCACGAATTGGCGCGACTTTGCCGCGCCCTTCAGAGACCATCCCGGAAAAAAACCTTTGAGGGGCCGATTTAAGCCCCTCCCACCCCACCCAAGCGAGTGTTAAGTCACACTCCTGGCTAAAGGCGTCCAAGGTTGCCTTAGCATAGTCAGCGACGACATCACTGTTGTGACAGCTTTTTTAACCATGGTTGCGGTTGGTAGAGTCTGGTGCTGTTCTGACTGCACCCAACACGTGCCAGAAGCTCGAATCCCACCGCCGATTGTGACGCTGCTTTTTCTTAGCTCGGTCGCGATACCGCTCATGTATTTCCATGTAAATAACATAGAGTATGCTCACAGCGAACAGATCCTTCGGTTGCGCGCACGTCGCGTACACAGACCTGGCACACTAAAAAAATGCCTCCACTCCGACAAAACCTCACATCCATCCGTGACAATGCCCACGGTCTTGCTGGCCGCGATGGCGTCCCTGTCTAAAACCCACCATGTGACTCTTTACAAAGCCTCTAAAAGTTCCGTCGAGATCAAGAGATCTCGATCACGATTTGTCCGAACGCACCAGAACACCGAGGCGCTCCGTCCCCTGTGAAGCCAAGGCACCTCTTTCTCCCAGCGCACCACCTGTTAACCGAGGCCACTCTGCCTGCCGCCTATGAGCGACGGGGCTCCGAAAAGGAGACCGCGGCGGCTCTCTGGCCTCACCGGCCGCGCGGTGGCTCTCTGGCTGGCCTCCACCGACCTTACGCCCGATGGAGCTGTGGCGACGCCGTTTCATACAGCTTTTGCATCCTCTCAATGCCGGAGACGACCTTGTCGAACAGCGGCAGTTGCAGCAGCGCGCGCTTGCAGTCGTCAACGTTGATGTCACCAACTGGGATTGCGAATAAGCTCGCCACCATGGCGGCAATGGCCATTAAGAACAGCGGGACGACGCCGACAGCGCTGACGATGCTGGCGATCTCTGGAACCGATAGAGTGTTGTCAGCGCTGATGCTTGTGTGC